ATCGTGTTCTTTTATTGTCCGTTCTTTTTAATAGTATATTTTCTCATACTCTCTAACACTTGCGTCTTAGTGGCTTTATTGCCTTGCTTGGGGTGAAATTATTAAAAATATTGAATACTGTTAAATAGTTTTTGGAAATTATTCAAATAAAAAAGCAACACTAATAGAATAAAATAAAAATATGAATAAAATAATAGTTCTGACGAAGTACATTTCTTAGTTCCAGCAGTTCTAACCTTGACGGCAATGACCAGCCATGCCACGCCCATTTTAGCGAACCACCCTAATGTCCTTCATATTCCACAGGTGAGATGTAAATTCCCCTTCTTCCCACGAGCAGCATTCTTTATGGAACCGTCTCCCAAGATTATGCTTCCCCGATCATTACATTCTTAACCTGTTCATTTGTAGGGTTAACCGTTATCTTATCAACATATCCTCATAAACTGTGCCCCTTACATCTTACTAGAATCCCCATATAATGTAATGGAATAACCAGTGACCCCCATGAATGATTACATTATAGGTAGTAAGTACCTATAAAGTCAACTGTCTACAATAGATTGTAGGAAAGGTGAGAGCGAGAATAGTGGTCTCTCCCGTCGAACTTTTGCCTTGAGCAGAGAGGAACCCGAACGAGGCTTTGCCGAAGGGCAAAGTTTCGTCCGGGGAGGTAGACAGATCCTGAACCCGTTTATTCGGGTTCTAAGGGAATATTTTTGTCTGAGCCTACGGGCTCGGAGAACCTACAGTAAACTCGGCCTTGTGCCACATACACATAGGTGGGGCTGTTAAATATTGACAGTGAGAGCGAGACGACGCAAGCACGTCCGACCTTCAAATTAGTGGCACTCACTACTAGATTGACCTGTGCGCATAACTGTACCGTATTTCATATTGTACTGGTTGTGTACAATAAACCTTTATTCTATTATCCACCTGGTGTTAAGTATTTATTCCCTTAGCACGGAATATAACACCATAATACCTCAAAGTCTACATGAAGTAACTAGTCCCAATATGTACAATTTATAGTCTGTGAGTTGGGAGGGGGGGAAAATAGCAACCCAGTTACTTTAGTGGGTTTTTAGACATTAAATATTTTGTTGTTACACCCGGTGTATATATATATATATATATATACATATATATATATATATATATGAAGAAAAATATACGGAAAAAAACAAACAAAATTCCTAATATACAATTATGCTGTTTTAATGTTAATATAATGTCCATATATTTGCTTACATACTGTCTACTGGAAATACAAACCTGAATTTACTTTATAACATGGAAGACTTCAAGCTTGTACGAAAATATAAGAATCTATTGATCTCCGCGTATTCCTATAAGAACAGAAAGGATTTCTTAACGAACTGTTTATATGAGAAATCGTTCAATCGAGCTTATCTAATATTTTGAAATCATCTTCGAATACGTTTTCACAACATCGCCCACGTGACGACGACGTGATTATATTAAAAAGGTACGCTGATCTTATAAAAAATTTCAGTTATCTGTTTGGATTAGTCTTGCTCTTGTGTCCATCGTCTTTTTCATGTTGAATTGAATATAGTCTAATGTTAATTATGTTTTATGAATATGTCCTGACGATGGTCTATTAGACCGAAACATCTGACGTTGACATTATATATATATATATATATATATATATATATATATATATATATATATATATATATATATGCGTCTGTGTGTGTGTGTGTGTGTTTGTGTGTGTAATCAAACTATTGATATTATTTATATTTATTAATATTTTTGCTATATTATTTTTCCTATCTTTGCAATACAAATATTGTTACGTAGCCTAGAGTGGATCTTGAGCTTTATGCAGGGTGAACATTATTAAAGAATTTCTAGATTTGATGAAAGATCGCATGAACTCAAGGTTTTCTGCTAAAAAAAAAAAAACAACAATAAAAGACAATAAAAAATAGTAAGGACAATGATTCATCTAAAAAGCTAGTCCTGGGTATGATGATAAACTACATCCAGCAGCAAGGTTCCAGATCAGGAAATTGGATGTTTTAAGGAGTGTGGAACCACTTCCGAATTACTGTTGTTCCCAGATCAATCCTGATCTATAGTGGTAGCACCTGCTATGGTCCCAGATATGGGCATAAATTGAACCCCAAACAAAACACTATGAAAGTATAAAAATAAATTTTTATAGTAATAATACCAGCAATACATTTTTATATAAAAAAAACCGACATTACATATCTATAGTAAAATGGCCAACAATATATTTTATCTGTATTTGAAGGCATACAATTGCGTTCAAAATATATTGAGTTGAAGCCATAAAATTTTGTTAAAAATATTTAGATTTTGGCATTAAATAACCCATAGAGGTTGATATGTCGCTAAACAAATTCAACCAAACAACCAATATGAAAAAAGAGTTTCAAGACATTAATCCATATAATAGACAACAATTCCTTAAAGAAATCAAACCGTATTCCAAAATATAACTTTAAAACTTCCAAACTACAGCATAAAAAACACGCATCACTGCCTCGTGTAGTTATGTCCACACAAACATGTATATGCAAAAAAGCTGAGTATCATTTACCATGTATTCAATTGCGAAAGCAGAATAACATATTTTTATTACTTCAAACCTCCATAAAAAATTAAATTTCGGAATTAAATGACCCATAAGGAGTTGATATGTCGTTAAACACTCAATCAATTAATCATCTAAAAAGCAATAACAATAAGATGAATTGAAACTAGCAATTTAATAATATAATAATTTGTTTTTTTTACGCCTTATCGACCGTTTGTGAGTCATTTAAAGCCAGAAAATATTTTTAGAGATTAAGAATATTTAAGGATAATAATGATTTTACTGATAAAAATTCTCCTAATTAACACATAGCTGAGGGAGAAGATTCATACCATTCCGCAAGGGTATTTACTTATAAATGAATATAACAAACCCGATTGGAATTGAAACGCGTTTCTCGGATTTACAATTCCGAGCCGTTATCCATTACACAACTTGCATATCCAAGCTTGCAGCACTTGGTATTCCGAAGCGGTCATCAAGATACTGACCTTGCTCGATGTTGCTTAACTTTGGTAAGCGTACGAGAAACAGTGTTTGAACATGATATGGCCGTAAGCCATAATAATAATTATAATACTACATCTAAGAAACAATTACTAATAAGTAAACAATACTGATAATTGTGAAAATGCTTGATCTAACAAACTGTAATAAGATGAGGTGGTACCACTTCAGCTTGTGATCTCCATCTTGGCTTCTTCTTTTTCAGCATGTGAGAATGTGACCGACATTCGGTGAATTTTATGTTATATTTATTTTTTATACAGGATTTTATTTTCCTATTGTACAATATATAGGAATAAAGTCCACTCTAAAAAGTTTTAATAACTTTTTCTATTGTTAAAAATCTTTTTTATTGTTGAATTATGACTTACAATTTTCCTATTGTACAATAAATAGTCATCAAGTCTACTCTAAAAAGTTTTAGTGATTTTGTAAAAATAGATCTACTTCTCGTACGTTAAATGGTTACCAACCTCTTTTTTTTTTTTTAAAATGCGAACGTTTCATTCCATTTTTTTTTTTTTTTAAATTATTTCATCCAAAGCAAAGCAATAAAGCCACAAAGAGCTGCTGGGTGTTAAAGAAGAAAAAAAGAAAAGACAAAAAAACATTATTAAGGAACGAGAAAAATAAAAGAAGAGGAATCAAGAAGAAAGTAGATAATGATTGACATTTCATTTAAATTTTTGAAGATTAAATCTGTCTGGAAATTATGAAGCCGGAATTGAGTTCCTCAGGGGAGAAGATCGAGAAAAAAAACTGTTAGCATAGATCATACGGTTTCATCTAGCCAGTTCAACTGTAAAATGATGAGACCTTGTTGCCAAACTAGTTTAGTCAATTCATAAAGTCTAGGTACCCTAGGGCAAACTAATACTCATTTTGTAAAGATACAAAAATGTGGCACAAGGCCAAAAGGGGCGATAGGGGGAAGGCTGGTGTTCAATCTGCGTTATATTAAACTTAGCTAGTCAGAATTACTGACCCAAACATATTACAACATTCCTTACACCAAAACAACATATTCTTACAGAGCATTCTTACTAGAATCACTATAATACCTCGAAGTCTATATGAAGTAACCAGTTAACATATGTACAATTTTTTGTCTGTGATGTTGCTTTGGGACAAAAATAGAAACCCAATTACTTTAGTGGGATTTTATACATTAAATATTTTTGCGGTATATATATATATATATATATATATATATATATATATATTGAACAATAAAAAAATATTAAAAAATTAAAATCTTCACACACACACACACACACACACACACACACATATATATATATATATATATATATATATATATATATATATATATAAGAACTTAAGGTCTCTGCAAATCCCAAACTTGACCTTGGGCTTGGTTCTCTTACATGGCATGTAGGTCTGATGAATTTGGATCGTGATTACGATTCCAATGTAATAAATTATAACCATGGAATATTAGTGTTTGAGATTTTTATATTATACAGTGTAACCCGGATATAAGAGACCCGGATATAAGAGAAACCCGGATATAAGAGAGATTTTCTCTGGTCCCATCCTCCCCGATATAAGAGAGTTCGTTTTGAGTGACAGTGTGATGTCGTAAATCGGTCAAACAGAGGTCAGTTAGAGAGAGAGTGAAGTTCAATGACTTAATCTTGACTAGTCTAGAGACACGGTGTGTCCAATATGTGTCTGTAGGAGACACCCTCTACCTTATGATTTTGCTTTGTGTGTCTAAGGGTAGCGCCGCCCGCTTTTTTGCGACTTTTGCTTGTCGTTGCATTTACTGGACAGCACTTTCACTTTACCCACTGTTCTGTTGAGTCAGAAGTTTGTCTGTTTGTTAATTTTGCCACTGAAAACCGTTTGCTTGCGATCATTGCGATTAGTGATGTCGGCGTCGGCGTCTCAACGAAAAACTCTGAGCATTTCTGAACAGTTGGAGCTCATCGACGATGTCAAAGTGAAGAAACTCAAACTGGCCGCTGCAGCCAAAAAGTACGGAATTGGTTATTCAACAGCAGCAAAAATTCTCAAGAAAGAAGATGATCTCAGATCTTGCATGCAAATGAACGGAAACACTAATCGCAAACGAAAGCGCCAATCCGTGCACAAGGACGTTAACGAAGCGCTTACACAATGGTTTACGCAAGCATGTGCTCAAGGAGCTACCGTCACCAATCACGTCATCAGGCAGAAAGCATCACAACTGGCCGTAAATCTTGAAGTTGATTTTGAACCGAGCAATGGCTGGCTCATGTGCTGGAAGCAGGCCAATAACGTTTCGTTCAAAAAATTTCACGGCGAATCAACGTCAAGATCAGGTGTCGTTTTTGGTAAGTCGGCAAAACCACGCTGCTTTAAAAATGTCAAAACTCTGCCGTTTTCTTACTTCGCTAATCGTAAAGTCTGGATGACTAGTCAGCTGTTTACTGACGTTATGAAACGCTTGATCGAAAAATGATTGCTCAAAATCGAAAGATTATTCTGTTTTTGGACAATGCAACTTGTCATAACTTACTGCCGGGTACAAATCTGTCAAACATCAAACTGTCGTTCATGCCACCAAACACCACCAGTCTCATTCAACCTTTGGATCAAGGCATCATTCGTTCATTCAAAGCGTATTATCGTCGGGAACTTGTTCGAATGCCAATCGCAGCGATCGATGCTACACCGCCAGTGCCGCTGTTCGAGGTGGCCAAGCAGATAACTGTTTTGAAGGCCATGCACATGATGAAGCGAGCACTTTTCATGGTCAAACCCGTCAACAATTCAAAATTGTTTTAAAAAGTCCGGCTTTGTCATTGAATCACAGGCTGAAGTGGAAGAAATACTCGACGAAAATGATCAAGTTTCTCCACCATCGGGCATGGAGCAAACAGATTTTGACGAATTTATCAGCTTCGGCGACCGTACACAATGTTATGGAGAACTGACTGACACGGACATCACATGTGGTATAAAATCGGATGATCAAGATTTTGACGAAGATGATGATGCTGAAAGCGTAAGTTCTGAAGTTTCTGAAAGTGACAAACCAGTGCCAAATTCTCTGGCTGCATTGAATGCGCTTGAAACTCTGACAGCCTACTTTGAAGCAAAAAGCAGTAATCCTGATGTTGCATTGAAATTGATTTACGGACTGTATGAAAGTGTTCATGATGTTAACAAAGAGGTTTTTGTACAATCAAAAATGACTGACTTTTTTAAGAAAAAGTAATTTTTGATTGAATTATTTTGAAAACTGATTGAAAATGTATTTTTGTCTGTGTTTTTAATGTCTATAGCTGTTAAATAAACTAGTGTTCTCTACGTAAAAAGCGTTATATAAAGTGTTCCCATACTTACCTAAACAAAATAGACCAAACCCGGATATAAGAGAAACCCGGATATAAGAGACTTATTCTCCCGTCCCGACAACTCACTTATATCCGGGTTACACTGTATTATATATATATATATATATATATATATATATATATATATATATATATATATATATATATATATATATGCGCGTGTGTCTGTATATATAATCAAAGTATTGATATTATTTATATTTATTAATATTTTTCTATATTATTTTTTCCTGTCTTTGCTATACAAATATTTTTACGCATTTAACATTTTTACTAATCTATTATTTTCACTATCTTATTATTACCATTTTTAATATATAATCATTGTTATTATTATTGTTTTTCTTACTTTTACTTTTACCTTTAGTCTGTGTATCAGAAACTTGTTTATTTACTCATTTATTTATGTATTTATTTGCATTTATTATTTATTTATTTATTTGTTCTAATTTAGTTTCATATGGCTTTTATTTTATTTTGCGTTATTTTATTTTATTTTCATTGATATGTATTATTTTTTATTAGTACTTTATTTTTATTTTATCACGGCGTATTTTATTATTATTATTATTATTGTTATTATTCTCACTATTTTTATTAAGTTTATTTATATTCTTTTAACCATTATCAAGGCTAATGTTATTTTTACTTTCAACTTAGTGTATGAATTGTTGCTTTGACATAAAACACATTTGGATAATCTTCACATATTTTATGTCCAGAAAAGAAGAAAATTATATGAACTCAAGAAAAAACAAATAAAAACTACATAGTCATTCGTAGTTAATTAAACTTGTATAAAAGAATGATTGCTGCCCAAACATACACACACACACACATACACACACACACACATAAATAAATAAATATATATATATATATATATATATATATATATATATATATATGTGTGTGTGTGTGTGTGTGTGTGTGTGTGTAAAAAACTATCACTCAAAAAAAACTTGTATTAAAAATATAATAAAAACATGTAACTTTGTAAACCAAATTCCTTTGTAACTAGAAATGTGATCTGATGAACCAGAAAAATATATTTTCTGGGGAAATAAATTATAGTCATTGAACCTTGAGGTTGTCTTTTTTTAAAATTTAATTAATATTTGTTTTTTTGTTACATTGAGCTCTCTGGATTACACCCTTTTTGGAATTATCCATACGTCATTACCTTACCATACATACATATATATATATATATATATATATATATATATATATATATATATATAAAATTTATACATCACTACTAATATCAGTACGTCCGTAGGTAACCATAGATATAATCTCTTATATTTCATGTAAGTAAAACGCCCTTAACAGATCAATAGGCGCTCGTGCGCAACAACTATTGATCGATCCATTAAATATGACCTTGGGGAAACCAAGCACCAGCTGCTTTCCTTGATCGTGTGTGAATTGGCAGTGAGTGCGTTTTGTTTTAAAGAGTACTTTCACGTTCAGAAGTATATTTTGCGATACGGTGCGTATTATATAGCTAAATAAGGACGTAATGTTTCCTTTTTTTACCTCTATCTCTCTCTCACTCTCTCTCTGTCTCTCTCACTCTCTCTCTCTCTCTCTCTTTCTCCCACAACTTTCAATTTCGTTTTCCGAACAATCAAACAACGATTGCATTCCTTGATTGTAATTTGGTAAGACAGTGGTTAAGGCATTTGCGAAAACTATGTTTGGGCATTACAATCAGATCGATTTTCAAAATGCTTTCATGATCGGCTGTCGCTATTTCAACAATGATGAGTAATCTGCATAGTACATATACGAACACACACACGAACACAGACCCAGATATAACCATACACTGTTGCGAGTGTAATGCTGTTTAACCAGAAGCTGTTATCAAGGTATTTTCGGTGGATAACTCTGGTAATATTCGTACAGCAGCCAGATAATCGCGTAATGCAACTGCTAGGAGTCAGAGTGTCTAGGGTAGGTGTTTTTAACCACGGGGGATTTCAGGATTTCATCGTATGAAAACTTTTTTCTTTTTTTATGTATAGGATTTGGTTTATTGAATTACAGTAACTTGTCGTTTTATTGAAATTTTTGTTTTCTGAAAATATTTCTGTTTATTTATTTAATAATTAGCTATGAATGAAAACAAATTACTGTACATACATTCAAGTTTAAAAATTATCTTCTATAGTTAGTGAATTTGAAAAACTCCTCTATAGCATAATCCATGTAAATATATATTTATTAAATATGGAAAAGAATGAATGTTTTCAATAATATATGCTTATTATTTGGAATGTAACTTTTGAGTCGGACAGTCTTGCAAAGAGGCAGATGACATTTCTGACTTACGGTCAAAAACTATGTTATTTTGGGATGTTTTAGGCGAGAGATCTCTGTAAAATATGAAAAGAAAATGTAGCTCTTCACCAAATAACATGTGACCGGTTCTATTTGTTTACATGTTAACTGTACCAATTGGAATTAAACACTGAACTGACCCGAAGTGCAGTGTAAGCTGTTGTCAAGGTGTTTTCGGCGATTAACTCTGGCAATAATCGCGCGGCAGCAAGCTAGTCCTGTAATCTCACCCCAGGTGTCAGAGTGTCTAGTGAGGTGTAGACAAACTATGTATGTTGCTGTGTAATGTTTTAGTCAAAGTTTTCTGTAAAATATGAAAAAAAGGAGAAAAAAATTCGCCTGTTTCCTACCCAAGTGACATGTGACAGGATTAATTGAGTTACATGGTAGATGAACCAAAATGAAAGGAAACACTAACCTGGCCTGAAATAGAAAGTGTTCATGTTTTTCCACACGTAAATTAAAAAGAATCCTGCTGATGTCGACTAACGAAATATCTCGCGTGAAATGTCCTTTCAATGGAACTGGATTCCGAAATATTTCTCCGCTATGACCTCATTCATTTCACTACATAAACTGTATTTAAAATAATAATAAAAGAAAGAAAGAGAACTTATAAAATAAGGAAGGAAGGAACACTAATCCCGTGAAATCTTTAAGACATTTCCAATTGAACACCAACAGACAATCGTTTATATTTATGTCTATAACACTTGGTGTTTAAATTCATGAAACGCTTAGCATCATCTAACGTGATATCTCGCGTGAAATGTCCTTGTAGTGGATCTGGATTCTGAGACATTTCACCGCTATGACTTCATTCATTTCACTACTTAAGCTGTATTTAAAATAAAAAAAAAATCATTTTTACTTTCATAGCGAGGCCGGGCGCTACGAATGAGATGGGTGGTAGTGGTGGTACTTGTACTCCGAGAAAATATGATTTAGACGTTACCGAGAAAAAAATAAAACATACTGACATTTAAATCTGGGGACACCCTCGAAAAAAAAGCGCCTATTTCCTACCCAAGTGACATGTGACAGGATTAATTGAGTTACATGGTAGATGAACCAAAATGAAAGGAAACACTAACCTGGCCTGAAATAGAAAGTGTTCATGTTTTTCCACACGTAAATTAAAAAGAATCCTGCTGATGTCGACTAACGAAATATCTCGGTGTCCTTTCAATGGAACTGGATTCCGAAATATTTCCCGCTATGACCTCATTCATTTCACTACTTAAACTGTATTTAAAATAATAATAAAAGAAAGAAAGAGAACTTATAAAATAAGGAAGGGAGGAACACTAAGCCTGTGAAATCTTTAAGACATTTCCAATTGAACACCAACAGACAATCGTTTATATCTATGTCTATAACACTTGATGTTTAAATTCATGAAACGCTTAGCATCATCTAACGTGATATCTCGCGTGAAATGTCCTTGTAGTGAATCTGGATTCTGAGACATTTCACCGCTATGACTTCATTCATTTCACTACTTGAGCTGTATTTAAAAAAAAACAAAAAAACAAACATTTTACCCGCTTTCATAGCGAGGCCGAGCGCTACGCATAAGATGTGTGGTGGTGGTGGCGATACTTATACCCCGAGAAAATATGACTTAGACGTTACTGAGAAAAAAAAAACATACCGACATTTAAATCTGGAGACACCCTCGAAAAAAAAAAACGACTTGATCTTATTTCTGAGAGACTTTTCGATAGATTTTTTGGCAGGTTTGAGGGTCTTCGTACACTTGCAGTGAATCTGACAGTAATGAGCTCAGTGGCTGCAATGATTGTTCTGGAGAAGCTGACCGGATATTTCGTCGATATGATGTCAGGAATTTCTGTATAAAAAGAACGTTAAACATAAAAATGTCTTTAATAAATAAATTGTCGGACTTTGTCCATTTCTTAATATATGACGTCATTTGTTTACATTTGATACGCCATGAGTAGTTATGAATGTACGAGATTCATGGAAGATTGAAGTTTATAAGCAGTACATTCAACCTTGCCAACCGAAGGATCCTTTATGGCCGAGCGGTCAAGGCAAGTCAGCGTAAATGACGGTTCCGTATAGGATGCAGGTTCGAATCTTGTCAAAGGACGAATATTTTCTATGAAAATTTCTCGGACATTCAGGCCGGTAAATGTTATTTAATACGGTTTATTATAAACAGAGGATTTACTTAAATACTTGTATCTATAAAAAGAACGTTAAACATAAAAATGTCTTTAATATATATATATATATGCAGCATGAATCGATCCAGCCTTTATCTTAAGTAACAACTTAAAAGAGACTGACCAACACAAGGTCTGACCAAAAGTTATGATAAAAAAAATAAAAAAAGCAAATGAAAACTACAGATAAAGTTCATTTTTTCCATCAAGTCATTCATTTTTGTAGTTCACTGCTATTAACAAACCAAATCAAATCGGACGCCAGCGTCACAGTGGTCGTAGGGCAATTTGTATTTACGCCACCGGTTTAATGTGGGGAGCCCGAGCGCGTGCAACCGGGCAAGGAACAAAAATTCCCCCAGCCCCCGCAACCGTTGATCGCAGGGCAGTTATTGTTTTTACTTTGTAAGTACTCCTTATTAAACTTTAGAACTCTATTAGCAACTTTTTTACTGAACAAAATATTTTCATGTCACTTTAGGCAACTCTGATCACAAAACAATAGCATGTTTGAATTTCACATTTGAGTTGTCATATCCTGCTATGGAAACACAAAACAACCTTGAATGAAATTGATGGTCAGGCTAATGCAGTTGAGAAGCTTTGAAAAGATTACTGCGAAACGGGAAGTAATACATGTGAATAAATCAGGGTTCTAAAGGTTAAACCGACCTTGTGTCAAATCCAACTATCGTGGAGAGGTGGGGAAATTTCCTCAACGGCATTTTTGCTTAGGATCAAAGTGTAGTATTTGTTTTGCTTTTCACTACTGTGTCTCTGCATCTGGGTCGTTCGTGGTTTTGTAAAGACGAAATCCCGCATTTGGGATTCCACCTCTGCGACATTCATGATAATGGTCACAAGTACTGACAACTGATGACCTTGTGCCAGATTAAACGAAGCATAGGTACTACCAATTGAATATATCTTACTTCCTCTTGTGGATGAGACAGGTGCAAATTTCTCAGTGATGTTGGTGCTTCCTGTTGGATCCCATCTAGTAGGAAGCATTTTAAATGTTTTTGTTTTTTTTTTAAATCTCGGGACAAGCAGTCTTCTCGACATGGGAGAAACTGGCGCAGCACTGTCTTCCTATCTCACTTTTCACAGACACTGGTACACACATGCATACACAAACAAATATGGACACTGATACAAAAAAAACAGATGCACGCAAGCATACACACACGCATACGTACAAACGTATACTGACACATGCATACACACGCGTATACAGCTGACGTAGAAAAACCGATTCCCGCACGATCACCGAAGTTAAGCAACGTCGCGCCTGGTCAGTAGTTAGATGGGTGATTTCTTGGGAATACCAGATTCTGTAAGCTTGGATGTGCGCTTGTGTAACGGATGATGTCACGGAATTGTAAATCGGTGAGCTGAGTTTCAAATCCAGTTGAATTCATTATATTCACTTACGCGCAAATACCAGTGGGAAAATGAAAGGAATACATCTCTTGTCCCCCACAGCTATGGATTAATTAGTAAAATTTGTATCACTAAAACCATTATTATCTCAAAAATATAGGATTGTGTGAGAAATTATTTCGATTTTGGCATTAAAAAACTCGTCGTGTTGATATACCTCTAAACAAAAACAACCAAACCAAACTACACACAAAGAAATACGCGAATGCACACACACGCATATGCACAAACACATACTCACACATGCATGCACACACGTAGACACACACACAAATGTACAGACATACACGCATATGCACAAACACATACACACATACTCACACATGCATGCACACACGTAGACACACACACAAATGTACAGACATACACGCATATGCACAAACACATACACACATACTCACACATGCATGCACACACGTAGACACACACACAGATGTACAGACATGGACACAAACACACATACACACACGAATACTCGCAAGCACATACACACATAAATGCACTAACACACATAGTTAGAATCAGGAATGTTTTGTTAAGTAGTAAATTAATATCTGGCCGGTGAGGTGCCATATTCCGTATTTGCTACCTTCCCCCGCCACCTACTTCGAGTCTTTTTATTGTTCCGTTTTCCGGAGGGGGGGATTCTGGCGTTTTTCTATCTCTAATTACACCTTGCAGATTGTCCAGTTTCTTCAACTGCAAATAACCCAGCGTCACGAGACAGCCCCCTCACCTGGATTCTATTGATGTCTAATTTACGATCGTTTATATTTTTCCCCCGTGACTTTGACCCGTCCGAACATGGTGAGGTGTCAACAATGTACCTGGAAAAAGAAAAAAAAAAAGAGAATAGTACATCTCAACCTGTAGTTGGCCAACTGCACTTATTCTCTTATTTGGAGATTTATACCGGAGTAAATAAAACGTTTATTCACTGTTTGGAAAAGACAATAGAAAATAAACACACACACGCACGTATATATATATATATATATATATATATATATATATATATATATATATATAATAAATTTTATAAAATAAAATTATAACATATTTATGTTATAAATTTTTTTTAAAACTAATTATATCTGCTCTACTTTGTATTGAGCACTCTTTTAAGAATAGTAATTGTTGGTTATTGGAATTCATTCCGTATACACCAATTATATATATTATATATATATATATATATATATATATATATATATATATATATATATATATATATATATATATATATATATATATTAAGAAATGGACAAGGTCCGACAATTTATTTATTAAAGACATATTTATGTTTAACGTTGTTATTTTATAGATACAAGTATTTAAGCAAATGTTTGTTTATGATAAACAGTATTAAATAACATTTAACGGCCTGAATGTCCGAGAAATTTTCATAGAAAATATTCGTTCTTTGACAGGATTCGAACCTGCATCCTATACGGAACCGTCAGAGGTAAGGCACGTCAGCGTATATGACGGTTCCGTATAGGATGCAGGTTCGAATCCTGTCAAAGAACGAATATTTTCTATGAAAATTTCTCGGACATTCAGGCCGGTAAATGTTATTTAATACTGTTTATCAAGGTCCGACAATTTATTTATTAAAGACATATATATATAACGTTTAACGTTGTGTATATATATATATATATATATATATATATATATATATATATATATATATATATATATATATATATATATATATATATATATATATATATATATGCTCTCGGCAAATCTGGTTGAGCTCTCTTGAAAAAAGGGTAATTTTAAAAACATGCTTTAGGCTCGTTTCTGATCGTTCGAGATCGCCCTTGAAGGAATGAAAGTGTACAGCAGAATTTACCCGCATATGTAAGAGATCTATGTGTTGACCTGGTTGTCACCCTGGCTTCCCACGGCCAATTTGACGCAGAAATGATACAAGAAATATTTCTATAGATTTTTGACAGGTCAATTTGGCCTCCATCGAGACTTGATATTGATCTTATGAACTTAGCGATATAGCCCAAATTGGTGAGCGATGTTTGACGTATCTCATACTCAGGTGTGTCAGATTTGAAAAAACCTGAAATGACGTCGTAGCAGAATTAGAGCCAAAACGGGGTAAATAATTTAGGTACTTCAGTTGAGATGAGATTAAGAATGATGACGAAAGTAAAGATGATCTTGTTGAATTGTGAGTATATGTCAACTATCGCTAATAAATATAACATTTAACTTGTAAACTTTCATTAACCAAAACCTAAAATCTAAAACTTTTAATTTTGTATTAAAATGAATAATGGATATATTCCGTATTCGGTATATATATATATATATATATATATATATATATATATATATATATATATATATATATATATATATATATATATCTCGGAAAACTTGTTGAGCTCTCTTGAGAAAAGGGAAATTTTAAAAACAGTGGCTCTTACTGTTATTGACTGAATGGAGCTCCCCGTATTTAGTATAGAAAACGTTAAAAATTTCCGTTCCCTCTGCCGTGCGACGATAGCCTAGGGGTAGGATCTCTGACTTATGCCAAATCGTTCGGGTTTCGATCCCGATTTGAAGAAATCGGACGTCTAGTCACACTGAAGAGCTGTGATACATCGAAACAGTTTGTCTGTGGATGAAAAATATATATATATATATATATTGGAGAATACACCTTGAAAAGGCCTTAAATGAGAGACGATGTAATGAAATGATACGCGGCATGCGCAAAATTTGTGCATTCTTATTACCCTTTCCGGCGTGCCGTGAGCATTGACATGGCAGCTTTAAATCTGAAATCCAATGGCACACCGTGCTTGTAGCATTAGTGTTCAAAATAAACAGTTTGTGAAATTGACCAGCTGCTTTATGTTCATGATAGCGAGGACGTGCTATTCGTAGAAAAGTGGAATGAAACACCGTCCAGCAGGCTCAAAACATCTCCGCAAATCGACGAGGACGAAGCAGGATAAAATGGCAGAATCATTTATCAGACATCTGGTGTGCACGAGGTATGTGTTAAGTAGATCGAAATAATCGCTGAACAAATCCAAGGACCCCGAGGAAACTACCATGCATCGGTTCGTCTTCCATCAGAATTTAGACAACGAATAGAATTTAATCTAGATGTATGTTTGAATTTTCGTATAAACGATCGACAATTTTAATGCTCGCGGTTGGAGACCATTAAAATACCATCAAGTTTATTTTTCCTTTATATTACTTGCTTTACAAATGTCACTGTTAGAACGTGATCCGTAGAAAAATGAATCCGCCATTTTTATACCCACAGCTAAATTGGCCGACGTGTGGCCATTCACTTGTGTTTTTTCCCGCCTTGCTGAATCAGTGTTAGCAGACGACTCCCTGGGCTCCAGTGTACGAGAGAAACGCGGTAAAGCTGATCTCTCTATTATACAAAAACATACAAAGGACATATGTCAATGACGTAACTAAAAACGCTGACATACAGTACAGTTCAAATGTTTGAAGCAACCCCCAGCCAATTAGCGTCGGATGAACTTGACAGAAACGTGAAAAAAGAAGAAAAGAACAATAAAAAAAAGAACTCATTAAAAAAAGAATGGAATCAATTATCAAACTTATACTTTGAGTAACTTTTTCAACGAATGCCAAAAATTTGTGCTGCAGTCATCAAGGCTAAAGGGGGATATTTTGACGAGAGAAAAAATTTAATCATAAAATATCATTTTTTTTAAGCATGTATAATAATTTTCTCTTATTTAAAGTACAAAACAACTTTTTGTACCAACTTAAAAATTACCAGGGGTGACCTCAGATTTTGAACTGTAGTATATGTAAAATTGGAGTTCCACGTGAAACTCTTTAAATCTATATAGTATACAAAAATATAGGGATTTATTTCTAATCTACCATTTATATTACTTCAAACGTTATTAGTTTAAACACTTCTTATTTGAAATAGAAGCCAGATTTTCTTTTATTAAACAGAGTGTATCCTGTCTATTGGGCTAGGAGAAATTCTAGTAAAGGAGATATGTTCTTCGGCAGGGATCGAACGCGCGTTCCTATTTGAAATGTAAATCACCGTTTGATCAGGTGTGCTTTAACCACTCGGGCACGAAGAACGTTTGCAGTAAACAAGGCTCTATTTTTGCCTTTTCATGAAAAACACATCCTCTTGCCTTTGATTATTTCTTCCGTTTCGAAAGCCTATATTTTCGTATAAAACACGTAAACGAAGCAATTTCTAAAGAACAAATGGTTCATTCAAAATTTACTAGTAAAGTAGATGTATTCTTCTACATGCTTCAATAGTAATTATAGAAGCGACTTCGTATATGAAATAGACGTCTCATTTTTATTTAGTAAACACCGTGTATTACGTTTATTGGCCTGTACTTTCAAGAAATCTTAGTAATGAAAATGATTTCGCTGGCGGGGATCGAACTTGAGTCCTCCTTTGCAGGAGAAACTGACGTTTGTTCCGGTGTGCTTTAGCGCTCAGCCACGGAGAACTTTGCAACAACAAAGTCTCTATTTTATCTTCCTATGAAAAAAAACATCCTCTTCACTCAGATTATATTTTTCGGATACGAAACTGAGCAAATATTTCAAATACTAAGTGCCCACTATAATAACGTGGAAAGTAATATGCAAACATATATAAAGATTGTATTCACAGAAAGAGTTTGAAAAATGCACTGGAGAACATTTCTTTTAGATAGGACATTATTATTATTATATGCTTTGCTATTCGGATCTGCTCGCATGTCTTGACTGTAATGTTTCGAACGTTGTGCTATCCCGCCTTCTTCAGCTGTCTATCAGTACCTTCTTGGAATTCTGAACGAAACCCTTTATTCAATTCGTGGGTGTGCTTTGCTTTCATTCAACTTTCAGTGCCTACGTGATATTTCGTACCAACGTACTGACCGGTCTTTTGCAC